ACGTTTGCCCTACCAGAGAAAGGTCACCGTTGAGTTCAGTAAATAATATATATATGAAAGGGTTGTGGTTGTGGTAGTGTTGGGAACAGTCTTATTTTATAAAAAAAAATATTTTTAATATATATATATATTTATGTTTTTGCTTAGTCCAAGTAAGGTATGTTTCCAATACAATAAACAATGATAGCTCAAATATAAATCCAACATCAAATATTCATTAGCATTATTCGGTAAGAGAAAGGGAAAAGAAATTAATGTCACATCTAAGAGAGACGAGACATACTAATTAGAGAGACAATGACGTTATACATTTATTATATATGTCTTTTGATAAAAGGATAATAATCTCATGATAAGAGATATTAATGTGATCCTTTAACTATTTGATTTCACGTCAAAATCCTAGTAGATAGAGTATACATGGATGATATAATGTTAAAGACGTCACGAGATTAAATAAAAATATTATATATTAAAAAGGTGAATATATTAATTATCTGACATTAAAAAAAGTCTTGAAATTTAATAATATAACTAAGAGTGATCATTTGATTTATTAAGAAACAATTTTCACACGTTAATTTAGTTTTCTTTTAATTTAATCTCCATTATCATTTAATTTTTCCAAGCGATTGCTTGACAGATCCATGAAAGGGAAATATGAGCAATGGACCTCTTATAATTTATAATTAATTAATATAATGGACCTCTCTGCCTGCACGGCCTGCCTTGCAAGGCACATCTCTTTTTTTAATTAAAAAAAACTATTTAATTATTTGATAATATAAACCCATGTGGGTTTATGATAATTAAACCTTCAATAATTTATTTAAATTAAAATATATTATTTTATACGATAAAAAATATCTCTCTCCTCTCCAAGATGTACGAATCATGCACTGCGAAATCAGTACAATCTCTGAAAATTAGTTGGCAACTTAGTTTAGTAAAACCCAAAAATTCCCCCATCTTTGTATGTTTATTTTTGTCATTTTGTCTCCATGATTGATGCTGATTTGTCTAATCTTGCTTTAAGTTAATCTTTATTTTAAGATGCTAAAACAATAGCGTAAAACACCTTATAGAAAGATGGAGATTGCTCAAATGTAAGTTTAAAAATGAAGATGGAGATGGAGATTTGCCTTGGAAGAATACAATTAGTACATTATTGTTATGATATGACACATGGAATAGTTTGTGTTTTGTTATTGTGTCTTAAATCAAGGCATGTTTTTATATCTAAACTTTAATGCCATAAAAAATTAAGAGATTTTAAAGAAGAAAACGAGATAAGGATGGAAGTTTTGAAATATTTTCGTAGATTTGTAGTGTTAGGGGCTGATTTAGCAAAACCTAATCAAAGAATAAAATAAAGGATGTCAAAACTCAATCGAATCCATAATTTCAAAAAGAAAAATGATGTTATCGATGACGGAGTGTGACAGTATTTTCGTTAATTTTTAGAAAATAAGATGATTGTTCACCTCTTCTAAAAAATAAGGACATATGACCGAAAAGAAGAATATGAAAATGGGATAGATTGGTAGGATATTTTTTGATTAATTTAGGGTGAGTACAAGATAAGTGTTGATAGGATTTTTAAATATTGATTGTTAAATTAAATGAATTAATTATTTCGAATTAAGACCAAATTAACATAAAATATAAGTTTTGGGCACTAAAACTGTTATTATATCAGGCCACATCATCATCTCCGTGAATTCAACGATAAAAAATAAAGACAAGTGACAAAAAATAGAATCAAAGCACAACATTATTGATTATTTTACTAAAAAATGGTTAGGTGATTAAAACATAAACATGATCATAATTGAATGACTAAGTAGACAATTTACCCTAATTTTTTTCCAAAAGTTTTAAAGTTTCAGACTCCCTTATGCGTTGAATTCAATATTTATAATAAGGGATACGATCTTATCACAATATTATTTGACATTAAAAAAACTTTTAAAATTCAATGCAACAAATTGGCAATTCAAATAAAGAATATAAATATACCAATCTTCAACATGAAAGCAATCTTAACAAGTTCTAATTTTATTTTGGTAATTCCATCCAAAACATAAAAATACCATCCATAAGCAATCTCAACATGTGACTCATATTGCCAAGATAAATTATTATTTTTTAAAAGTCAAATTGTAAATAAAATATTTAATTTAAATTTGTGTATCTATGTACGTCGATGTGATAACTTTGATGATGATACTGGATATAAACAAGTAGCATTCATAAATTACCGAATTTTGTTTTAATGTTTATCTTTGAAATCTTCAAACTTTATAGCATTTTAAACACAACTAGTAACTTTACTTAAGAAGGGTCTTATTATTGAATTAAGATAACGCGTGTATAACGGTGTACATGGTCTCACCCCACATGGACATTAAATATAAATTAGACAGATTTTGATTCGACATGATTTTATGTATTTTTTTTTTGAAAATTTAAGTTTGGATCGAATATGGTCGGATTTAAACTTAAGGTGAAAAACAATACACTTGACTTGATCCGAATAGTAAATAATAATCAAGGACATGGTCATAATTCTAATTCAAAGTGGCAAAGTATAATTAATAACAGAAAATGAGAGATAAAATATAAGTAACCATAAAAATTAGGGGACAAAAAATGAGGGCAGAAAATAAAAATAAACTAAAAATTAGTATCTCTAAATTAATATTTATCCATATATATTTTAATAATAAAATAATAGGGGCAATGGCCCCAGTACGAAATATAGCTTAGTCTCTAATAATAGTATAATCAATCTTTATATATAATTTTTTTTAGAAAAAAAAATTAGGTCAATAATAACTCTCCCAGTCTAGGACCAGAGCATATCTAAAATTCAATTGAAATTTATATTTTTTATTTAAAAAATTGAATATGATTTCTTAAATGAACCGTCTTTAAACTCGAATCAAATAATATATGGAGAAATATTTTATTTAGATCCAATTCATATGAATAAAAAAAATCAGCTCCACGTTATTAATGACTATTCTTTAATTTGACTTAAATTATAATTTAAATTAATAATTAAAATATATCTAAATAGAATCTAAATATATTGAATTAGTTGTGCTTATATAAAAAATATTGAAATGTAAAATTTTAAAAATAATATTTATTATGGTTTGTTAAATCAAAAGCCGCATTAAATAACACAAAGGAATTTCGACACGTGGCATAAGTAAATGCCAAAAGAACTAAATAACAAATTAGGGCCAATTGCTTCATCCATGGGGCCCGCATGAATTTAATTTTATTTATATTTTCGAACAAAATAATAAATGAAATCAATAGGAAAGGCCAAAGTATCAGCACTCCTTTCCCCGGGTACAACGTACCCGTCCCACCTTTCTCTCTCACTCCAACATTTGTTTCTCTGTTCCGGTATAATTTTGTATCCAATCCCCATACTATTTTCACTTTTAAAATATGGTCCCTATATTTTAGTTCCATGAATTTAGCCTTATTATTTATCAATATCACATGCAGGTTCGATTTTAGATAATATTTTAACAATAGTTAGAATGTGTTTTGTACACGTTAATTATGATTATAGTTATTATATTGTTATATTATTTATAATTGTAATTTTGTGTGCACTATTAATCATATTAATTGAGTTTTGTTAAAATTTTAATAAGTGTTATCAATTGAAATTTAATTTTTAAATTATATATTCAAATAATACAAGATAATATATGTTCGAAACTTTTTTAACCAATTAGCAACACACTTTCTGCAGACGCAACTACTCGAATTTAGGAACTTTAAGAAAAGTAACATTCCCTTTCAATTCAGATTAATTCAAATAACATTAAGATTTTGAGTATGACGAAAACCTCAACCTTATCATCTTGTTCGACTTTAATTTAAAAAATCCGAAAGAGTAGGGATTTAAAGGGTAGGATTAAACCTTTTCTAATGCAATTTAATTTAGTGTTTGGGCATGGGACCCATAGCTTGTCCTCGTCTTGTAACTTACCCTGTCCCACACGTGTATCAGTGGGCCCCTTCCCTTTCTTTCACGTTGTTTCAGGAGAGGGTATCAAGGAAAAAAGAAAAACACCCACCGCTGTGCTTACGTGGACGTTTTACACGCGGAAGAGGCCCTGACTGTCAGTTATTGAATCTTTCCATCACAACCAATTAAGTAAAGAAGACGGTAAACCCGGTTCTAGGGTCTACAACCCTAGAAAATTACCGAGAATCCGAGATCTACATTTATATTTTTGGTCTAATTTTGGTCTTAGTTCCTATATTCTTTATACGTCTGAAAATTAGTCATTCTATTTTTAATCCTCTAATTTAGTCCTTTATCTCTTGATTCGTTTATTTAATTTTAATTAATAATGTCGTCAAAAGACTTCATTTAAACCAGATTTTACGTCTTTTAAAAACATTCAGAAGACTAATATTATACACATAAAATATTATATAAAAAAATTAAACTGTTGAATACTATAAAATTATAAGATTTTCGATTATGAATATGATATTGTAAGGTTTTTTTAGTCCTATTTTCAAATGAGCTTTTTGTTGTTAAAAGAAACACATGAGTAGTTCAATATAGTTTAAAATTCTTTCGGAATATTATCAATTATACTTCAATTATCGTATCAAAAAGTATAAATATATTAAATATTGGAGTTAAAATTAGAGAGAGTACATTTCAAACATAGAAGAGCATAGGGATTGGGAGCACAATTAAGCCATGCATTTTCTAATTTTATTTGGATTGAGTTGCATATTGGATTGAAATAAGAGGGAAGAGAAGGTTAATTCGGCAAACAAATCCAAAATAGGCAAAATACCAAAACCAACAAATAAATCTGCTTTTTTTTATATAACCTTAGATTTTGGCTCCACAAATAATGTTAATAAAAATAAATAAATCGAACCGGACCGACCTAAATAAACCCCACCACCCTCCTCTCTATCTCTCCTTCATTTCACCCTTCATAAAAGCCAAAGCAAAGGCAATTCAAACGCCATCATTTTTCCATTTCCCCCTCTAATCCATGGCTGTTGAAGCTAGGCATCACACTCTTTCCCCCCCTCAGTTCTTTGGAAACAGGTTCGTTTTAAACATACCCAGACTCTCTAAACAACGAAATCTTTTTCATTCGATTTTGAACCGTCTCTAAAATCGTTCTTTGTTTACAGGGAAATGATGAATCCCATTGAAGCAAACAGGAATCTGTATCCCGCAGAGATGGGATACGGTTTCGCAACGGCGGCGGCGGCGGAAGGATTGCTTCCTTTTTATAACCCTTTGGTTAACGATCAAAAAGCTGCAGCCGCGGCGGCGATGAAATCAGAGAGTAGTTTGACGTGCAACAATGTTCTGCCGTTACCTAGAAAGCGTTCAAGGGATTCCATTAATCCAATCCTTTCGTTTCCTTCTCTTGTTCAGCAACCCCAGGGCAATATTGACAATAGCAAAACTTGCTCTCCGTTTTCGTTTCTGGGTCATGATATTTCCCTTCATATGGAGCAGCAACAGTTGGATATTGATCATCTTATCTTCCAACATGTGAGTGTTTTTGTAATATTGATGGGATTTGTTTTTTTATATATATTGATATTTATGGGATTTGGGGATTGTTTTTTTAGATGGAAAGAATGAGAGTGGAAATGGAGGAGAAAAGGAAGAGGCAAGCGAGGAAGATAATGGAGGTAATCGAAGGCGGATTAATGAAAAAGCTAAGAGCCAAAGAGGAAGAAATCGAGAAGATCGGGAAATTAAATTGGGCACTCGAAGAAAGGGTGATGTCGCTGTGCATAGAGAATCAAAAATGGCGAGACTTGGCTCAAACGAACGAGGCAACGGCCAACGCGCTTCGGACATACCTAGAACAAGTCCTCACCGCCGCGCGTACTAGTGGTGTAGAGGAGGCTGCAACCGCAGCGGAAGCGGCGGGAGACGAGGTTGATGATGCGCAGTCTTGTTGCGGAAGCAGTTGGGAAGTTGAGAAACAGTGCATGTTGGCAACGACCGCCGAGAAAGGTGGCATCACCGGCGGGAGGTGGTGTAGGAACTGCGGGAAGGAAGAATCTTGTGTGCTGCTGTTACCGTGCAGGCATTTGTGCTTGTGTACTTCTTGTGGGTTGACGGTTCATATTTGCCCCGTTTGTAAATCCACTCAAGATGCTAGTGTCCATGTTAACATGTCATAACCCCCCCCCCCCCCAACAAAAAAAATCAATATACCCACAAAAAATACCCTAAAAATTCAACAACAAATGTTAGATTTCCCAAAGTTTTGTAATTAATTAAATTAATTCTTTTCTTTCTAATTAATTAGTTCTGTTTTTTATCAAATTAAAAATCACATTTTATTAAATATTTTATCAAATGAAGATATATTTTAATAAAATTTCATAAATATAGTCGACAGATGTATATCTCAACAAACCAACCTAGCATATTTATATATCATAGATATAATCATAGTTCACAGAATCAGTATATATTAATATTTGACAGAAAAATATTATATCGAATTTGTTAATGATTATGTGATTTGTTGATGAAGTATTGAATTGATCAAAATTTGATTACTATAACTTTAATTATAAAATATTAATAAATTTTGAATTAAATATATATATATTTTAAAGTATAAATGAATAATATTTGAGTTATTTAATTTTTTATAATTAAATAACTTATATGAGCTGAAAAATGAGTAAGTAAGAACACTGTTCGAGAGTAAAGTAAAATATTTATAAGTAAAATACAACAATGAAGCGCTAACAGAAATCCAATATACTAAGACATACGTATTGTATTGGCAGTACGACGGATACACCAAAATTGTATGATGGCGTGAATAGATAGCAAATAATGTGTTAAAGAAGCTATCACTATTCATAAGAACCGACACAAAACTACAAACTGTACAAACACGTGTTAAAGGAGGTAGTCCCCAAATAAGAAGTCGCAGACGCCGACCACCGTACCAAGATAGACAAAGATGACAACACAACCAACATGAAATAGAATAACATGGATCACGCTCAGGCATACAGACCACAACATATTATCGCACAAACTCAGATAACAAACATGCATCAATATCAATCAAAAGAACGATCCCGAAAACATATTAACGTCAAACAAACAATTGCACAAAACCAAGAATGACCATAAAAATGACAAAGAATATAAACATATACATTGTCCCGGAAATCAAAATGAAAAACAACGATAACTATGACCCCTATCACAGGAAAAAAGGTCGAGAGAATAATTAATACCCATATAAAACTTCGTGTCCCTAAAGATACAAGGAGTAATCATTTATTTACAATAACACTACAGACAAATACAAAAAAAAATAGTAAGATAGTCGCTAGCCAAGGCCAACAGACCACCCGAAGATCGGAAAGGAGTGTAGCAAAGCAGTTCAACAATGGCAAAAAACGAAAAGAAAGTTTTGCAGAGCATTTTTTTAGTTAAATAAATGTAAATTTTTAAGTAAAAATCATTTGAATCGATTTTATTTATTTTATTTTCACTAACATCTCAAAGATAAAGATTTTAAAGGAAAAAACATATATGAAGTCATCTCAATTGTTAAAAGGGTGATTGATATTCATAAACATCTCAGATTTGAATACCAAAAATTAAAAGAATTTAAATTTTTATTATCAAATAATTATAAATTTTTAAAACATATATTACCTTATAATTATTTTAGATTAATAAAAACTTTAAAGAAAAATTTCCTATTATAAATACATTATTTTAAAAATAGGGAGGCGCATATTAGAAAAAATAGGCTAAATCTACAAGATAATGTGTTGGAATTATTTATTTCACGAGATAACGTTCTCCCAAGATTAATTGCTGAAGTAGGGCAAATTGCACAGTATTGGCCGTAGGTCGTCATACCTTCCGGGTGACCTACGAGGTGGCAGCTTCCGACGAGGGAATGATTGTGTACATGGGACATGCACAACCCAACCCATAGGTCGCCATGCACTTCCAACGACCTCCTAAGTCGCCATGCACGCCCGGCGACCAAGCTTTTAACCCTCTGCATGCCCTGCATGTCATAGTTGGGAGATTCATGCCCGACGACCAAGCTTTAACCCTCTGCTCCCTCATGCATACGTGCAGAAATATCACATGGCCATGCAAGGAGACAAGGTCGTCGGGCGTGTATGGCGACTTCCTTAGTCGTCCGGAGTGCATGGCGACCTATGGGTTGGGTTGTGCATGGGACGTCTGAAGCTGCCACGTCGTAGTTCGCCCGGAAGGCATGGCGACCTACGGCCAACACTGTGCAATTCGCTCTACTTCAACAATTAATCTTGGGAGAACGTTATCACGGGAAATAAATAATTCTAACAAATAAGTTAGAAAAGTTAAAAGGAAACATATGTGGGACCCACAGAGTGAGGGGCATCTACCCGACAGATAGATAGAGAGTGGAAGAAGATGCTGAGAAAAAAAATAAAGGCTAAAAAGTTAGATGGGAACGTAGGTGACGCGCGAGAAAAGCGAGGAGTCAACCAGGAAGGAGATGACCGAAAAGGACACGTGTGAGGCAAAAGCTGACACGTAGGACGAGCGCAAATGTCGCTGTTGTTTGTTCTGCCACTGTTGGCAGTACTAGTCCCCACTTTCCCATACGTATTCCCCTCTTTCAAAAACGCACCGTTTCAAAACACTTTGTTCTTCTATTAAATCTCAAATATTCTTATTATATCGTTATATTTTAGGGTAAAATACACACAAATATGAAGTAGCCACAAGATTATAGATCCTTTTCTATTAAATCTTTTGAATTATAATAAAATTCAAAATGATCAACTACTTTTAAAAAGTAACAAGTTAAACATTTCTCATAAAAATTAATAGTAGACTACATAATAGTTGAAAATTTTGATATAATAATGAATTTATTCGTTAATGTTATTTTTTAAAATTTAATCCTAATTCCAAAATTTTAACCTCTAATATTTTAATATTCAGTCAATTTAAATATATTTTCTCATATTAATAATATAAATACAAGTTAATTATCAAAAATAATTCACAAATATCAATTGTGATTTGACCGCCACAAATATTTCATTCATCACAGTCAGGTGTGCGGCCCTGATCGATCCGAATTAGTCATAGTAAAACCTTAGGAACCGGGAGTGTAAAAAAAATAATTCACAAATATCAATTGTTATTTGACCAGCCTTGCCAGTGGGAAACACATAGACTTAAAATTAAACCACATGCTTAGTGGTGTCCCTCACAAAATCTATGCATCGACCTAACACACAAGAGTATTGGAAACATGACTCCTTGTGACTAGGGAACCATCATCTTAATTTTTGTTTAAATTAATCTTTACCATCACACCACTCGGTCCAACATAAAAAGATTGTACTAATAAATTTCTAATTAGATTGTAAGTGATTATTTTATTAAATGGTTGATAATTTCTCAAAGAACAGATTCAATTCCAATACAAAAAGCAAACAAAAGTACATAAAATATGGTATCTTTCAAGATTGTCAAAAGATAATTTAACTATAATTTATTTATTTATTTTAATGGCACCTATCCATTATCTAAGTGTTTATGTTTGAGAGGTGTACTATACATTGGAATCCCAAATATTTAACATATACATAAGTTCAAACCTGATTTCAAGAAATAATAACAATTACTTTATCATCGAGGTTATTTGGTTTGTGCATTATTATTATAATTATTTAAAGATTTTTTTGTTTAAAGGTGTTTGAAGATTGAATATCATGGATTGATATGTGTCAAATAAGTTGTCCTCTTCATTGATAAAAATAGAAAAAAAATCATATTCTATGATTATTCAGTTGGTTGTGGGGTGAACAGCAATGGACACTACAAAAGCATAGAATATTGATCCAATAAAGAAGTATAATGGACCACTCCTTTGATGGAAACCCTAACTTTGTAAAAGGGACACTCACTTTGTTCACTAACGGTTGTGTTATTCGGGTTAATTTCCACCAATAACAGATTCACCTTTAAACTATTATCTAGGTGACTAGTGTGAAAATGATTGTACTAAAAATCACCCCAAGGTAGATTCCCAGGAAAGAGGAGGGGTCACAATGGTCCCTCTTAAAACCCACTTTCCTTAGACAGAACTACCAAGACAAGTAATTTTAATAGGACAATAATTAACAACAACTATACCCGACAATAGCTATTAAATAGACATAAAGAGAACACCAATATTTAACGAGGTTAGGCCAAAAATTATGTCTACCTCCTCGAACACTACTAAAATAATATTTCACTAGTAGAGGAAATATTACAAAGAGAAAGAAAGAATACAAATAGCCTTTAATATAGAAGAAGGCTTATAATTGAGGGATGATTAACTAAGGAGGAGGATGGCTTTATTTATAACAAAAGAATTTCCCCTTCTCCTTATACACAACCAATGTGGGACTTTGCCAAAAACCAACAAATCTCCATCTTGGCAAATTCCACACACATCTCTAAAAAAACAATCTTTTAATTTGTAACAATATTGACCAAGTCTAAACAATGTTTAAACTTGACCGCAGTTACCACTTTTGTCAACATATCAGCAGGATTCTCAGTGGTCCGAATCTTCTGGATTATGACTCCACCTTCTTCTAGAATCTCTCGTACAAAGTGATATCGAACATCGATGTGCTTCATCCTTGCATGGTAAACCTGGTTCTTTGCTAAATGAATAGCACTTTGACTGTCACAGTGCACTTTGATGTGCTTTTGTTCCATTCCCAATTCACCAAGCAACCCTTGAAGCCAAATTTCCTCCTTCACAGCCTCTGTAACTGCCATATACTCTGCCTCTGTAGTAGACAAAGCCACTGTTGACTGTAAGGTGGACTTCCAACTGACTAGTGCCTTTGCAAATGTAAGCACATAACCAGTAGTTGATCGACGCTTGTCCAAATCACATGCATAGTCTGAATCACAATACCCAACTACACACTGACCGTCTTGTTTGTCCTGCTGAAAGACCAAACCAATATCTACGATGTTCAGAATATACCGCAGAATCCATTTCACAGCTTGCCAATGCTCCTTTCCAGGATCATGCATATACCTGCTCACAACCCCAACTGCCTGTGAAATATCAGGTCTCGTACACACCATTGCATACATCAAGCTACCAATAGCACTTGCATACAGAACCTTTGACAT